GAACTGCACGTGTTTAGCCTGGAGAAGGTTTGGTGGGAAACTAATATCAGCTTTTCAGTATGTACAGGTTTGTTCTCAGGAACACAAAGTAAATGTCTTTATCAACATGATGCAGGACCAGAGGATAGAAAAAAATACTTATAAATGGAAAAAGGGGAGATTTTAACCTGAGAAAAAATGTACATTCCAGTTGAAACCCAGGGGAGACTGCACAGGCCAGTGGAGACTGTTGGCTAGAGAGGTACCTCATTTGGTCTTTACCTTAGGTTTATGTCTGCCACCTCCCACACACCCACAACCCAGCCCATTCAGAACCAGTGTTTCTTTCCTGCCTTTCTAAAACAACTCTTTCTGCCAAACTTTTGGTATATTTTTGGGTTTAAGAAACAAGAAAAATTTAAATCAGGAAAAAAACCTCTGTATGATATATTGGTATGAATGCTTTAGATGCAGTTTGACTTCCAGCTGCCCAAATAAAAACAAAAAGCCAACAAGGTAAATTACCATCATTTAGGAACTGGATAAAACATACACAAGCTGCAGTCCATGTTTTTTCAAAGCAAGAGCTCAGGCCCTGTGTTACAGCATTGAAATTAGGAAAAACCTTGGGACATGGCTTTGCCATGGTCTTGCTGTGGGAATCTGGACTTGCAACTTATTCCCAGAAATATAAAGACTTTCTCAGGAGACAAAAGGCAGCAAAAGAGTTACCATTAGGACAGATTGCAGCTCAGAGAGACAGAAATTTGCCCAGTTTCTCAGTAGAGAAAAAACTCCTTTACCTTAATGTTATTCTGCTCCACAGCCTAATTTATTGTCTGTTCAGAGTAGCTCTTCCCTGTCTCAAAGGAGCTCTGTGAAATTAGATTCATTAAGCCATGTTAAGTGCCATGAGACTCTCTCATGGTTAAATTTCAGAAGGGCAGAGAGCACTGTCATCTAACAAGGGGCCTCCTCTGTCCAACAAAAGTGCAATACACACTTGTGAGTTATGGTAAAGACAGTCTACCTGTTCCAGCACTTCTGAGATTTATCTTTTCTTCTTTTCTCCAAAATGTTTCCTGTGTTTTCCAGTCCTATACACATTCAAAAAAATCCACATAATAATCTCAGGACCATTAAAAAGCGAAGTTTTTAACAAAAACATTAGAATAAATTCTACTGCCAGCAAAAATAAAAATCTTATGAAGATTAAGAAAACATTCTATAAGATTCAATAGATCATAAGATAGATCAAGGTTACTGAGACACAGAGGTGTAACCTATCTGTCCCCATTTACCAGCAGGGTTCTTGAATGGCCACAAACACTCCCAGAAGCCAGGTTCATGTGTTTGATAGCTGTATCTAATTCATGGCTCCTTGCAGGTGGTTGTTATGAAGCCATTTTCAGTGTTTTAAGCAAGACTGGCAATATCCACCAAGCAATTATCCTGTCCCTGCAGCTCAGAGAAGCAGAAGTGACAGATGTGGAGAGGGAGAGGGACACTGGTCCCCCCTGGCAATGCCACAGCCACTCCATTTGTAGGATTTTGTGGTGCCAGTATGTCCCTGTGGCTGACACTGGACTTACTGCCATGCTCATGCTGGGCAACAAATCCCCCACCAAATCACCATCCCCGCAGCTGAGTGAGAGCCAGGTTTGCTGGGGAGTGGGCACCTGACTACAGGAGAGTGGCTGCACTAATAAGCAAATAAAGGTTTCCCATCTCTCTGAATGCAGACTCCATTGACATGCTTTATTCACAGCAAGCTCTGCAAAGTGGCTGGTTTGGTTTGCAGAGGCAGAACATCCAGACTTATCTTCAAAGGTATCTGCAAAACCCACCAGTTTTGACAGCAAAAAAAAACCTGGCTACTACTGCTGCTTAAGTGCCAACATATGGATTTCAGGCACTAATTGCATGCACCACGGCTTGATTAAATTGCTCCCTGGAGCTTTGCCAGAATAAATTATTTCACTGAGCTAAAGCTGGAGCTGCGCTGCAATTTTGAAGCTGTTCCACACATGCCAAGGCAGCATGGAGCTACACTGGAGGTGTGCCCCAGGTGATTCAATCTCAGTGCACATAACTCTGGTTTACATCCCACTGTCCTCTACCCTGAGCAGACATAGATATCAGCTCCTCTGCAGAACCTGCTACTTGATGCTGATAGTCTCTTAACCAGGATAATATTTTCAATATCAAATGCTCAGATCAGCATGAAAATGGCTGGGAAAAGGGACTGTTCTGAAATCAATTGTATCAGCTAAGTGCCTGAGACTCGAGCTTTTTTTAAAAATTCGTCCCTAATATCACAACCTTACAATATTCCAGAAAATCCCCACTTGAGAATTTCAAGAAGAGTGTCCTGTTCTGAATTAATAACAGATACAACTTCACTGAACTCCCTGAGCAGTAATAGTTCTCAGGGATTATTGGATCACTATCCTTTATGATTAATCAGACTTCCTTGTATTTCTTTTAATTTTTAGACCATTAAAAATCTACCATCTGGACAGCTTTGTAATGAAGAGCTTTACAGCAAACATCTGTAAACACATGAGAACTTTCTTCTCCCAGAGCACAGGAATGAGAATTACAGGCGTTTTCAGGGACCCTGGAAGACAGTGTCCTCCAAGGCTGAGGGCCCCCATGTAAACCGGGGGAGTAATTCTATGGATGCTTTTGCTGCTTGGACTAAAGGAAAATATTTTTTTTTAAATTTTAAAAAGGCACAAACAAACAGAAAAAAAAAAAAAAAAAAAAAAAAAAAAAAAGCAAAATAAACCAAACTAACTATAGAGCTGCTATATTTGTTAGGAGCACCTTTCTGTGAGCTGAAGGCTTGTCCACTCACTGACCAGCATTACTTGAGCTGGTGAAAATGGGCTTCTTTTTTAGGCAATTTGAGGGGGGAAATGCAGAGCAATATGTGTGCATATCTTCATTATGGTTTAGCACAAATAAAATAATTCCTGCTAGAATAAACTGAGACAAGAATAGCAATTCCAGCCCACACAGTTCTGCAGGAAATGTTCCAGAATAGCTACATGGAGTACATTCTTATTACCAAATCGGAGTGCTCTTGAGAGAGGACATGTGAACCAAACCATGTGGATATGTGGGCATGTAATCAAAGTTACAAAGCCACAGGGACTTAACAACGCTCAAAGCACCCATTGTACCTTGGTGACAGAACAAGCCTCTCTGCCCATCCTGTTGCTTTAAAGCTGTTCATTTCCATCACCAGATGCAAATTAAATCCCACACTTGCAGTATAAGGCGGTTTAATGACTGTTACCATCCAGCAGGGAGGTTAAGAACACAACAGCCGCTTTCTGAGGGACAGGAACTCGTTCAGCTGCAGCGCTTCCCAGCCTTGTGCCTGTACCCACGGGCAAAACTGCAGTGTCAGCTAAACCTCAGGATACTCCTTCCAAGCACTGTAGGAAAGGTTTTATTTTGGTTTAAACTAAAAAAAAAAAAAAAAAAACACTACCAATGTTTTGGGGTTTTTTTGTGGAGGCAAACTTCAATTCAACATCTACAGCTGAGATGCCAGGACACTTGGTCTTTCCTGGTGTTCCAGAAGGACAGGAGGATAGGAACCTCCTGAAGTCCTCAGTTCCATGTGGCCCAGAGGTTGTGAAAGTCCCTGTACATATATGGCTCACAGCAGATTCTGGTTCAGATGAGATTACACCAGTTTACAAGGGCACTAGTTCAGTGTCTGCATTACAGAAAAGACAGAATCTAAATCTATAAAATCCTAAGTCATACAGGTTGCAGAAAAGCAATAAAATTCTTCTGTTTGTTCTTTGATTTTTTTGGGTTTTTTTTACCAGACTCTAATTTGCTACTGAGGTCTGAGCCTTCAAAATTTGCCTCTTCTACAACATTTTTTTCAAAACAGTCCTTTGCCTTTGAATTCTCACAGACAATCTGTGGTCAAAGAAACATCTGGGGAAGATTAAAAAAAAATTAAACATTGGGCAATTTTTAATAAGTTTCTCTTGGGAATCTCAAGTACACTACTGCAGAAGTCTCACGCACGCTGTTACTTTTCAAATGGTTTCGTCAGTCTGCACTCTAAGATTAGCTTCAAATTTTATTTACTAGGCAGAACTTCCAGTCACCAATCTTCTCTTTGTCATTTAAGAAACTATAATAGGAAAAAAATGCCATAACCTTTCTTCATTTCTTTTCAGATGTGATCAAGGGTTGTAGGTCATTACATTACATGACATTAGCTCAGTTGGGTAGAGCATGGTGCTTATAATTCCAAAGTCATGGCTTTGGTCCCCATATGGGCCATTCACTTAAATGCTGGTTACAATAATCCTTGAGGGTAACTTCCAATTAGGACCATTCAATGATTCTGTGATTCTGTGGTTCTGTGACATTGTGAAACACTTGAAGAGTACTAACATGCAACAAATGTGCCATCTCAGCTGGTCTGCAGCCAGAACATCTCAGAAAAATGTTTAAATGAGTAAAAAATAGGAGAGGTGGGGACTCACCTTGAGTAACTGAGATTAAAAAGTTCTGCAAAAGGCCTGTATATTTGTGATATTTGCACAAAATGGAAATTTCTGTCTTATTAGTGAATTTGGTCATCAAATACAATGAATCTTGGAGAAGAGGAATCCCACTATGAACAGCAAAGGCATGCAAATCCCCAGACCTTAGTAAGGAACACACACTGAAACTGAAAAATATTGTCCATTTGTGTCTAATTATCTGTTGTTTAAACAGGCTGAGTTTCATGAAAACAAAGGTCCATTACAGTCCCAGCAGGACCCAGGGAATTAACTGGGCATCAGAACAGGTTTTGTGCATATGCTCAGTGCAATGCTTTCCCTGGAGTTTGTTGTCAACATCCTCTATCAACACCCTCAATCTGTGATAGTCATAACATCTCTCATTATAAAACACTGTCAGTGCCTTTCCCTAAATGTTTCTGTTCCATTTTGTAAATACCCCTCTTTAATAATCTGTGCACCCCACTTCTTCTCTAGGTGGCAAATTTGCTCAGACTCTTCCAGATCCCCCAGATAAGCTACGCCTCCACCAGCGCCAAGCTGAGCGACAAATCCCGCTACGATTATTTCGCACGGACGGTGCCCCCGGACTTCTACCAAGCGAAAGCCATGGCTGAAATCTTGCGGTTTTTCAACTGGACTTACGTGTCCACGGTGGCTTCCGAAGGAGACTACGGGGAGACGGGGATCGAGGCCTTTGAGCAGGAAGCTCGCCTGCGCAACATCTGCATCGCCACCTCCGAGAAAGTGGGACGGTCCAACATCAGGAAGTCTTACGACGGCGTGATCAGGGAGCTGCTGCAGAAGCCCAATGCCAGAGTGGTGGTGCTCTTCATGCGAGGCGACGACTCCCGGGAGCTCATCGCAGCTGCCAACCGCTTCAACGTGTCCTTCACCTGGATTGCCAGCGACGGGTGGGGAGCGCAGGAGAGCATCGTCAAGGGCAACGAGCACATTGCGTCAGGGGCCATAACCTTGGAGTTGGCTTCCCATCCGGTTAAAGAGTTTGACAAGTACTTCCAAAGTCTCAGCCCTTACAACAACAGGCGCAACCCCTGGTTCAAGGACTTCTGGGAGCAAAAATTCCAGTGCAACCTGCAGAACCGGAAACCGCATCGAAAGGCTTGTGAAAAGCACTTCACCATCAACAGTTCCAACTACGAGCAAGAATCCAAGATCATGTTTGTTGTGAATGCTGTGTATGCAATGGCTCATGCCTTGCATAAAATGCAGAGGACTCTCTGCCCAAACACCACCAAACTCTGTGATGCCATGAAGCATCTGGATGGCCGGAAGCTGTACAAAGATTATCTCCTGAAAGTAAACTTTACAGGTAATGCCTTCTCTTTCGGTACCTACAGAATGAAATTAAGCACTGCAATTAAGGAAATGTTCATCAGTCATGGTAACAGCCAGCCAAATTCCTGGTAGCAGCTATTTACACAGTTCAGACCAGGGTGGTACACAGGCAAGGTCACTCCAGTCATAAGAAGGCAGAAAGGAAAAGAAAGAAGAGCTTAATGAGAACCCTAAAAAAGCCAGGGTGATGCTCCTCCTTCTTCCAGCAGAAGGAAGAGGTGAAGGTGGCAACAGCTGGTCTTGGCAATGTTGCACTTTATCCTCTAAAATTCCACACACCAACACCCATTTAATTCACAGCCAGGTTGGGCATGTCTGAAAGCCAATGCCTTTCACCACCTGCTACACCAGGCAGCCGCCTGATAATCCCATGCCAAGACTTGGCCTTCTCTCCCTCACTTTGCTACAAATTTATATAATTGCTGGACCACGGCTAGTGTCCTTGCAATAGTAAGGTAATAATTCCTGTCATAGAAGCAGATGTATATAAACTATTTAAATATATGGGGTAGTGCCATTACCTGTTACAAAACCACAGGCTTAATGGCAAAGTATAAAAAACTACATTAAACGTGCAGAAAATGCAGGTCTGTGGTCAATCTGGAATGATATGAGCAAACTTCATGGGGACTGGCTGCACAGCACATGGCACCTCTGTGGTTTTGCCACCACATAAGGCTGAGTTTAGCTTTTTTAATACTATGTCATTACAATATTTCACCTCAGCAAAGCTAAATAGATCTACAGAGGAAATAAGTAAAGTGTAGAACACCCTGTCTTTTTGTTTCTTCATGTGTGAGTTTCTTCTGAAGCATCAAGGTCGAACTTGAATTTCTGTGTATTACAAAACTGATGACCTCAAATGCTTGAGTTGATACTAAGGAACTATCATGCTGTGCTCTGAGTGAGAGCTAGCTCAAAGAGGAATTGAAGGATAAACATGTAGGATGCAGCATGCTCAGTCCCAAGAGATCTTCAGTAATTGTACAATGCTAATAACACTGAAAACTACATAAAACTGTCAAACTGGAGCATGAACTTTCCCCTCCTTTAGAGATGTTCTCAGCGCTTGACTCAGATTACTTCTAGATACTACCAACCACATCCCTGGTGCTTCTCTAACTCCCAGTGGGGTGCAGCTGCTGTAGCCAAGTACTCAAGGCAGAATGAAGCAAACTTTTCAGGTTTAGACCTCTAGAAATTAAGAATAATCCTTTCTTCTTCTCCTCCTCACAGCACTTACAACATAGAAGCTCTTTTCTGGCTTGCCTGCACTTACCCTCAGAGATACTTGAATGTCTTTAAATTGTTGAAATCAATTGGTTTTAGGAGGACAGCACTTCATGGGAGCTGATTCCTGGCATGCTGATCAGGAGGGAAGGCAGTGGTGTGCTTCTTTCCCTGCCAGAGAAATACTTCATGACTGTAATGGCCTACCTAAATGAGTAGGCACTTCAATCTTTTAAACTTCAATTATTTTGAAGATTTTTCTGACACTACAGGTATTTTTATGAGCTTAAATGAAAATACTATTAATAGAGTCCAGTCTTAAGTCTAAGCAACTTTTGTTCAAATATAGGATTCTTAATAATTTTTCTAACATGCAGATATTTTAAGCACCCAAGCATTTTTCCACTCAACATCTAGATATAAAGTCAAAATAACCCTGATTTTCTTTTACCAAAATCTCCAGAAAATTGTTATTTATCTAGAGCCAGAAAAATTAGCTTTAACTTTGACTGAAATATCTTTTATTTTTTTATGAACTGGGAATTGAAGCTGTTCAAGCTGAAAAAAAATTGAAGCCTGTAATTTTTCAGTTTTGAAAACAGAAGACTCTTTTTTGAACCAAATTAATTATATTGAAAATCAGCATGGAAATCTTTGAAACTCTGAAAAGCATTATTTTCCATTAATTTTCATTTCCAATTTAAAACATTAAGAAACCTGTCAAGTTCTTTTCCAATGGCTTTGTTCCATATACATTTTTACCAGCTTACAACATTATTTGCTCATCTCCTTTCTTTGTTATTAGTTCTTCCATTACAATGTGAATCCTTGTTTTAATATAATTATTTTTTAAGCAGGTGAGTGATTTTTGTAGTGATTTATTAAGCAAGTCTTCCATCCCTTACTCCTTTCAGAAGGGTGTGAAGAATTAATATATATGTGAGATTTTAATACATATAAGTCTTGTCATTGATTTCTATGGGACCAAGAATTATTCTTTACTCTTTCCTGGCTGAAGAAAATCTTTGTGTGTATTGTTAATGCAGTATGAGGACCTTATTGCATGGTAAATTTGATCAATGATGCTCTCATCTCCAAACCTGAGAATGTTTTCCCAGCACAGAGAGAGGGTGACATGGAAGTTACCAGCCCAGCAGCTGCCCTGCAACCAAGTCAGGCTGTGGATGTTCTCTCCTCTGTAGCCTGGGGAGCCACCCAGACCCACCACAAGGAAGCAGGCAAGAAACAGAACAGTGCTAACCATATTTGCAGACACACAAGCAGCTATTGAAGCAATGCCTGCTCTGCTAAAAGGCAGGGGTCCACATAGATAAGCCCTACAAGAATAGAAATCAAGCAAAGAAATGGTGGAAGGAACCAAGCAAATGGCTCTGTCTCATCCCAGTTTGCTGGAACATGAATTTCACACACACCAGTCTCAGTAAACGATGGGTGGGTTCCTATGACTGGTGTGGGATGGAGCAATTTTAGACATTTACCCTTCACACTCAAATTAGTTTTGATTAGTCTTTGATTACAGTTAATGGAGGGGACCAGCACTTACAGAGTGTGCTCCAGCCCATGTGAGGTATGACTTGCCCCTACATCTCTTGCTACTGACTACAGATGGAGTATAGAGTGATTAAGGTTTATTTTCACTTTGCCATTTAGCTGAAAGCCTGAAGTGAGACTCCCAGGAACAGCAATAATGTGGTTTGCAAGGAAATATTCAGGGACCAGCTAACAGCAGGGTGGTTGCAGGGGACTGGCAGGATTTCTGCATCCTTGTGCTGCCACTGCTGCTGACATGCTGTGTGACAGGTAATTTCACTAATATCTCTGGGTTCCTACTTATTTCTCCTTTTTCATCAAATCAAAATAACTCCACAGAACTGCAGTGTGGGATGAAGACAGAGTGAGATTTCACTCTTTATTGTCTGTGAGATACACCAGGCACATAATTTTCTTGCAAGTCAGTAAGACGCATGTGACAAATATCATGATATTCTGAATCTTTCTAGTAAAGGAAAAAAGAAATACCTGTGCCTAATTCCAGCTTCCAGCAGCAGGATGTGAGAATGCAAAGTCCAGCCCCTAGATAAATGCTCTCGCTCAATTTCAGTGTTTGTTTGGCCTTTCAAAGAGATATAGGCTGGTTCATCTTCTTGATCTTCCCATCCTCTACATTTCCTCCTGAGGGCACAAGTGCAGCACTTGATGTTCTAAATCGTGATGGTTTTCTGCTGATAAAGAGATGCCAGTCAAGAGGCTGTTAACTTCTATTACCAGAACAACAAAGAAGTGCTGAACAAAAGTAAAGGTCTCCATGGCAGAGAGCACAGAGTAAACTCAACTTCTCACCATACCCAGCCATTGCCTGGTGAAGGGCAGCATACAGAGGGGCTCCTGGGAGGGCTGTGAATCCAGGGATGAGCCCACTCATCCAGAAGCCTTGATCCCTCACAAGGGTGGAGGGGACAGTGCAGCAAACAGCCTTGCTGACTAATTTAGCTCGTTTAAGCCACCAGCACAACACAGAAAGGCAGTGTGGTCACTGCCCACAGCACTGCTGCAAGCCTCACGTTTGACAAGGGCCAGGACAGTGTGAGAGGGGTGTCCATCATTTGGGATAAAAAAGTGGCAGGGTCCTGCGCAGCTGTGCCCTACATGTTGCTGCCTGTTGTAGCTTCTCCTCCAGGACATTGGACTGGAAGGGAAGGGTGAGGAAGGGTAGCCATGATAATGGAAGACCAGCATTAGTTCCAGTGTTCCTTATCTGGCTGTGCAGGATAAACCAGGAGTGTAGGGCTGGGCTCCAGCTTTTCCCACGCCAGTTAACAGGGCTGATGCTGTAACAGGACTACCCCTGCCCTCAGTCTAGTGGGGGAGCATCTGGGCAGAGGGGGGTTGGATTTTGGCAGGTACGCGTGTCCACATGTCCTATGCAGTTTTCTGAACCTGCACAGCTAATGGCTGGAGAAATTTGGTTAAAGTACTAGACTCGGAAAAAAGATCATTAAAAATTTAGGCAATGCATATATAAAGTACTCAGTGTCTTGTCCTATCCTTTTCTCCCTCCTGAGTTACTAGAATCACTGTCATGGACCTTTTTGTCTTGTGTTCAGAAATCTATCTCTTCTACAGCAAAACCTGTGTCATCAAAAACAGCTTATCCTGGGCAAGTCCTCTCCCCTGGCTAACCAGAATGACTACTCCAAATGAGAAAAGGGTTGTAAATCATGTCTGATTTGTCCCCTTTCCTCCACTGGACTTTATGACAAAACTTCTATTCTTACCTGGTCTCACATTTCTATGTGGTTCATTTTTTCCCTTCTCTTCCTCCTCACTCTGCCCCAGTCAACACTGAAATAATACGAAGCAGAAGCACAAATTCACCTTCTCATTTATTCTGGAACACTGGTGACTTCTGTTGTGGGAACACAATTTCACAGGCCATTTCCATCGTATCTGTTCCATCCAAGTAAGAAAGAGCTTAAGTCATGGTCTGCAACAAGCAGATGTCACCTTACTTCTGAGCACAGCAGCATTGCATGGTCCCTGCTCTGGGATTTAGCCATAAATATTTCCTGTCAGAAGTGCACTTCAGAACTCAGTGCTCAGCCAGGCTCCATGGAGAAGAGACCAAAGGAATGCTGCATTTGCTATCACAAGCAGATTACAGCTGCAGAAACTTCAAAGGCTGGCTATGAGTTCACAGCAGGGAGTACCTGTGAAGGCTAGAGC